ATAGAATAGAATAGAATAGAATAGAATAGAATAGAATAGAATAGAATAGAATAGTTGGAGGGGACCTTGGAGGTCTTCTAGTCCAACCCACTGCCTAGGCACGAAACCCTACACCACTTCAGACAAACGGTTATCCAACATCTTTTTTAAAACTTCCAGTGTTGGAGCATTCACAACTTCTGGAGGCAAGTAGTTCCACTGGTTAATTGTTCTAACTTTCAGGAAATTTCTCCTTAGTTCTAGGTTGCTTCTCTCCTTGATTAGTTTCCACCCGTTGCTTCTTGTCCTGCCCTCAGGTGCTTTGGAGAATAGTTTGACTCCCTCTTCTTTGTGGCAGCCCCTGAGATATTGGAACACTGCTATCATGTCTCCCCTAGTCCTCTTTTTCATTAAACTAGACAAACCCAATTCCAGCAGCCGTTCTTCATATGTTTTAGCCTCCAGTCCTCTAATCATCTTTGTTGCTCTTCTCTGCACTCTTTTTTTTTTGTCTTACAAGCACTATTGGGTCCAGAACTTCCATTACTTAGCAAGGAGGTTGCTAAATAGGTCATGCCTGGAAACAGTGACATGACCATGTTTCACACTTATGACCATTGCAGCATCCCCAGCGTCACATCATCAAAATTCAGGCATCTGGCAACTGACTCACATTTATGATGGTTGCCATGTCCTGGGGTCCTGGGATCCACTTTTGTGACCTTCTGAGAGGCAAAAGTCAATGGGGAAGCCAGATTCACTTAACAATCATGTTACTGACTTAACAACTGCAGGGATTCATTTATCAATTGTGGCAATAAAGGTCATTTAACAAAAGGGCAAAACAAAGGGCAAAACTCACTAACAACTGTCTCACTTAGCAACAGGAATGTTGGGCTCAATTGTGATCGTAAGTTAAGGACTGCCTGTATTTATTTATATTTTTATTCCATAATTGTGGCTTACAAACAATAACAAAGCTAACTGGTATTTTTACCGGGAAAGAAGGCACTGGCAAGATTCAGTCATAACTTTGTCACCTCAGATATAGACTACTGCCATATGCTCTACAAGGGACTGCCCCTGAAGACTATTTGGAAGCTACAACTGGTGCAAAACATAACAGATTATATACTAGATCACAATTGGGACTGGAAAGTTTGTTGGTTAGCATCACAGTCGTTAAGTGAGGCACCATGTGACTGCACCTAATGTTGCAATTTTTTTGCCACAGTCATTAAGTAAATCACTGCGGTCATTAAGCAATTTCCAGCTTCCTCCGTTGACTTTTGCATTTTGAAAACCGAATGGGAAGGTTGCAACTGTCATAAATGTGAGCCAATTGCCACACACCCGAATTGCAATCCTGTTTACCGCGGGGATGGTGTGACGGTCATAATTTCAAGGCTGTGTGTGTGTTTTTTTCAACACTGTCAAACTGTCATTAAACGAATGGTCGTACATCAAGGACTAGCTGGAATACAAAACGGACACAAACCAATATTGTCCTACAACACCAGTATTCATGAGCTACACTGATTTCTGATTTGTTTCAGATGCAATTTAATGCACTGGTTATAATTTTTAAAGTCGAATATTAAATCCTACATCACTTTGGGGCTGGTTGTTTATGATAGGGGTCTCCAACCATGACAACTTTAAGCCTGGAGGACTTCAACTCCCAGAAGTCCCCAGCCAGTTCAATGAATGGGAACTGGGCCTGGCTAGTCTAGTGAAGAGAAGGACCACGGGAGACATAATAGCAGTTTTCCAATATTTGAGGGGCTGCCACAGAGGGGAAGGGGTCAAGCTATTTTCCAAGGCACCTGAAGGCCAGACAAGGAACAATGGATGGAAACTGAACAAGGAGAGATTCAACCTGGAAATAAGGAGAAACTTTCTGACAGTGAGAACAATCAACCCATGGAATAGAAGTTGCCTTCGGAAGTTGTGGGAGCACCATCCCTTGAGACTTTCAAGAAGAGATTGGACTTTCATCTGTCAGAAATGGTGTAGGGTCTGCTTGGGCTGGGGGTTGGACTAGATGACCTACAAGGTCCCAACTCTTTAAGTGGCATAAAGGCAGGCGCTGTAAATAAAAATAATCAGGAGCCACTCAGGAAAAAGAGTTTTCTCTATGCTGCCTGATCATCAAGTTTCCAAACCGGAAACAGAATTTGGACACCACCACTTTGGAATTTAAACTCTATCAGACGGGCTTTTAAATTTCTCCAACAAGGTATGCTGGTTGTTAAAAAAAAAAAGAAAAGGAGCCAGTTCCAGGACTTTTGCTTGTTTATGTTTTAAAAAAATGCCCGCATTTCATATTATGAATTCCTTCAGGATGACATGACATTATTCGAGCATGACAGATGCATTTTGGCGAGAGACAGAGAGGAAATCCCTTCATATCTATTGCAGAAGATAAATGTGATTTAAGACCCTTCATCCTGCATGGGAACAAACCTCATTGAAATGTTGGCGTTGAGAACAGGGTTTCAAATTTTTATTTCCCTGCAGAAATGAAGCCTGGAAAGTGCAAAAGCTCAGCTCTGCTTTGCACGAGAGTAAAATATGCCTGAATGCAACTTAAAATTGCTCCCACTTATCCTCCACTTATGACCACAATTGTGACCGGAACTTCCATACCTAAGCAATGCAGTTGTTAAGTGAGTCAGGTCCGATTTTATAATCTTTCTGCTGTGGTCTGGCTTTGACTTTCCTTGGTGGAATCCTCCAGGGAAGGTCGCCAATGACAATCCCTTGAACCCGGGACACTGCAGCTTTCATGAATACAGATAGTCCTCACTTTACGACCACAACTGAGCCAAAAAATTTCTGTTGTTAAGTGAGATGTTTGTTCAGGGAATTTGGCCACATTTGATGACCGTTCTTGCCATTGTTGTTAAGTGAATCACCATGGTTGATTAAGTTAGTAACCTGGTTGTTAAGTGAAGCTTGTCCGAAGGTCGCAAAAGATGATATCATGATCCAGAGACACAATAACTGTCATAAATATGAGTCTGTTGCCAAGTGCCTGAATTTTGACCACGTGACCCTGTGTAGATGCTGCAATGGTTATAAGCGCGAAAAATGGTCATAACTCAATTTTTGCAGTGCCATTCTAACTTCGGTCACTAAACAAACTGTTGTAAATCAAGGACTACCTGTACATGGCAGCTGCCAAGTGCCCCAATTTTGATGCTGTGACAGCCATAAGTGTGAGGAACAATCATAAGTCACTTTTTTCAGTGTTGTTGTGCTTTCGGTCACTAATGGGATGGTTTTAAGACAAGGACTACCTGTATTAGTAATCTCACTGGAGTTCAATAGGATTTACTCTCAGGCAAGTGGAAATGCCATTGCAAACTCAAGGCAGGCGCATAATAAGAGTTCCGATGTGACATTCATTCAAGGCTGGATTCAAATGCAGCAATGCAGAATTTCCTAATAAAATGGGTGTCCACCGAGGAAGGGAGAGGTCAGGGGTCACACTGACCCTCCAGCAAGCCAAAGAGGCAGAGGATAAGCTAAATTAGGCTTCAGAAAGAAAGAAAGAAAGAAAGAAAGAAAGAAAGAAAGAAAGAAAGAAAGAAAGAAAGAAAGAAAGAAAGA